CTCCATCTTGCTGAGGTTGAAGACGACCTTTTTGTGAGAAGACCGAGGCAAAGAAGGCATTAAGTAGTTCTGCCTTTTCCCTATCCCCTGTCAGCATTGCCCCATCTTCTCCTTGAAGAGGCCCTATCGCCTCCTTGTTTTTCCTTTTTCTACTGACATAAGACTAACTACTTGGGCTTCCGCATCTCCACAAAGGGGCTCGCTATGGACCCTGCCAAAGTGCAAGATGTATTAACATGGGAACTGCCCCAAACCTGGAAACAGCTTCAGGTATTTTTGGGTTTTGCTAAGTTTTACAGACAGTTCATCAAGGACTTTGCAAAAGTGGCTCTCCCTCTGACTGAATTTCTAAAGACCAAGGGGAAGGGGGAGACAAAAAAGATAAAGGCTCCAGAGGCAAGATTGCTGTGGACCCCTGAGTGCCAAAAGGCTTTTGAGGAGTTAAAATGCAGATTCACTAGCCAACCCATCCTTACCCATGCCCAGATGGATAAACCTTTGTGGTGCAATGTGATGCATCGGAAGCAGCATATGGAGCAGTGTTGTTACAGGCAGATGAAAATGGACAATTAAAGCCTTGCTCTTATTTGTCTAGGAAGTTCTCAGAAACTGCGAAACGTTGGCATGTATGGGAAAAGGAGTCGTTTGCAGTCCAGGCAGCATTGGCACACTGGCGCCATTTTCTGGAAGGTACTACAATTCCCTTCAAGGTGTGGACTGATCATAAAAATCTACAAGCCCTACAAACACCTCAGAGATTAAATGCCAAGCAGTTGTGATGGGCTCAGTTCTTCAATAGATTCAATTTCACCCTTAAATTTGTCCCAGGCAGAGACAACCAATTGGCAGACGCCCTTTCTCACATGCCGGCTGCAGACTATTTGGTCCCAGAACAATTGGGAACTGTTTTCTCCCGGCAGTAATTGGGATTAGTAGTGCACACTAGAGCCAAGCTTAAGGAGAGGCTGCCCCCCTCAGGCCAGCCGCCCCAACTGCTAGATGAATTAAAAAAAGACAGCCATAGAAGATGAGTGACTCAAATCACATCACAGTGAGTTAGTGCATAACGATGGGATCTGGACTTACGGGACAAAGTATTATGTGCCTGTGAGCATGCAAAAAGAGGTACTGAGGCAGGGACATGACTCCAAGCTGGCGGGACACTTTGGGTTCACTAAAACCCTCAAACTGATAGCTCGCCAATTTTGGTGCCCTCAATGCACAAAGATATAAAAGACTACTTACAGGAATGCTCCACATGTGCAAAAAACAAACAAAAGATGGGCAAACAGCCTTGGACTGAGATAGCTATGGACTTTGTGGTGGAGTTACCAGATAGTAATGGATATAACACCATTTGGACTGTAATAGACCTGTTCTTCAAACAGGCACACTTTATACCCCCCAAAAGGCTCCCCTCAGCCCCAGAGCTCGCCAAATTGCTCATGCACCACGTTTTCAGGCTGCACGGGTGTCCACAGAGAATTAGAACAGACAGGGGCACTCTCTTCACGTCATGGTTCTGGAAGTCCTTCCTGGGCATGTTGGGAGCGGAGAGGGCTTTGAGCACGGCCTTCCACCCAGAGACCGATGGGGCAACAGAAAGAGTTCAAAAACCCTGCAGCAGTTCCTGAGGTGTTACTCCACATATCAGCAGGACCAGTGGGCCTCCCTCTTCGATGTGGCAGAATATTGCTATAAATAATACAGACCATGCGTCAATGGGAACTTCCTCTTTTAAAATGGTAGGGGGCAGAGATTTCCCTCCCTTCCCGGGGCTTACGCCACAAAGCTCGGGACAAAACTTGTCCATATCCTCCTTGAATTGTGTTTCCCAAAATGGTTCATACCAGGTGAGATCTGACCAAAGCAGAATGAAGTAAGACTATGCATTCCCTTAATCTAAGGCATTATTAACACATCCTAGAACTGTATTGGCCTTTTTTTGGCAGCTTCTGCTGCATCGTACTGTTGAGACATATTCCTTTTGTGAGCTCCTAAGGCTTCTTCATATGTATTGTTTGCATCTTATATCTCTACATTTCATCTTATATGTATTTGTTTATCACATTTATCCTACTTTTTCTCCCACAAATGGGACTCAAAACAGCAAACAAATAAAAAAGGACAACTATATAGTACAGAAAACAATTAAATTACCAATTAAGACTTATTTTGAGAGGGTTTTAGACATGAAACTTTGTGATCATGGTGTCTCCCCTGCCAGGTAAGTTTATTATATATATTTATTAGGATTTTCTTTTCACCCTTTAGTATTTTGTCCCAGAAATCTTCTACTGGGCTGGTTGACATAAACGGAAGAAATAAAGAACTCGATGATTTGCTGGGCAAGGAATATTGGCAGAACAAGCCATCTGAGGGAATGGGAACTGATTTGGAAAAAAAGGATCTGCAAGAAAACTGGCTAAAAATGTTTCACCGCTGGTACATTATTCCAAAGAAACTTGGAACAATGTATAAAAACATAGATAAAAATGTTGGAAATGTAAGATTTATGAAGGCTCCTTTTACCATATGTGGTGGTCCTGTGATAAAATTTCCAATTACTGGAAAATGATACACAAAGAATGTAAAGCAGTTTTAAACATTTATTTTCCAATGTACCCAGAGATGTATCTATTAGGTATGTTTGATTGAGACATATTTAAAGATGAGAATATGGAAAAACTCTTTACATACTTCACTACAGCAGCTAGAATTTTAGTGGCTAAAAATTGGAAACAGGAGAAGATACCCTTGAAGAAACACTGGCTGGACAAAATAGTAGAAATAAAAGATATGGATGAATTAACCTTTTGGTTAAGGCAACATAATGGGAAAGGAATGAGAAGAACAGATTGGAAGGTATTTGAGGAATATATGGAAACTGTAAAATAAATAGATGAAGAGATAATATGAGAAAGAAGGGGGAGAGGAAAAGCCCCCTCCCCAGATATATAACCTAAGAGAGTGAATTTTTTTATAAGCAAGACAATATAACAACAATGAAATAAACAGCATTAGAAGGAAGAGTGGAAGTCAATGAATTTTATAGACACTTGTATTTTTATTTTTGCTATTTCCACACATTTTTTCTCTTGTATGTTTTTTCTTCTTCTTTATGAATATTTCCTACTTTACTATCTCCTTGCAAATATTCCCCCTCTTTCCTTGTAATTTTATATACTTACTTAATAAAAATAATTTTAAAAAGACTTGAAATTTTGTAACTAAAATAGGAATTTTATTTAATTAACTTTATATAAAATATGGAATAAATCATATAATTTAAAGTGCTTTGTGTTATGGACCTATTCTTTGTGATTTGCTTAAAAAAAATTTCACTCTTTTCTTTTTTTTCTTGCTACGGGCCTGCCTCCAAGTGTTATGCAGATTGTAAAAAAAACCAACAACAACATTCAGCTATTTTGAATTTTCAGTTCAACTCAAAGAAAGGATGACTGATGATCCTGATTCCCAAATCCTGGATTGTCATTCAGACTGAACTTTGGTTAGGAAGGGAAGGGAACTTAGGAAGGGCTTCCTAATGAAATGAATGAAACATTTAATATCATGCCTTTCAACCGAGCAATCTATATAAATAAAAATGTAATGTTCATATGTGGGATTAACATAACTCAAAAACCAGTGGACGAATTGACATCAAATTTGGACACAATACACCTATCAGGCCAACAAGTGACCATCACTCATAAAAACACTGGAAAACACAGTGGAAGGGACTTAAAAAGCCAAAAATATACATTACGATGCATGCACAAAACCACACATATATACGCAAACACACATAATGGTAATGAATTGTGATATCTTTTGGATGACTCGGCTTTATGTAATTATATGATTGCTTTTAATGTATTTTATGTATTAATGTGTTTCATGGTGTGATGTTTTAAACTACTGTTTTTGAATCATGTTGTAAACCGGCCTGAGTCCCTCTCTAGAGGTTGAGAAGACCGGTATATAAAAGTTCTAAATAAATAAATAAACACAAATATACACACACACACATATATACACAAAACACATATACACAGACTGGGGCACAGCAATGAATGGCAGGGGACAGCTAGTTTACAATAATTTGAGAACAGAGTAATGAAGTAACAAGAAAGGAATTAACACACTTCCTTCATTCAACTTTTAGTGAATTCATATTCCCAGTAATCTTTACACTGTAACTAATGGTTCACTGCTATAAACTTAAAAAAAACAAGATGGACATAGATTCTGGATATTTATGTATTCAGTTTATTTGCTCTATTGGAATATGGTTTTATGGCAGTATTGTGTAGTATTGAGGACTCCCCCGCCCAAGTGTACTTGCATTCAATGTTGAAGATGTCAGCTTTTCTTATATGGGAATTATGGAAACTTCTTTGCAATTTTAATGATATCCATGTATAAGCGCTCAGGTGCATCCATCCCCCAAATAAAGTCTAAATGTTGCCATTCAGGAATATGTTTTTCATAAATGAGATTACTAATCTGAGAAGACAACATTGCTGCATCTTTTGGAACTACAAACAAGTCTTGCCCGCCTGTCCAAATGGCAATTGGTATTTTTATATTTTCTATTTTGTAGATAGGAGGTGCTGTCTGGAGAGAAACAACAATAAAGGATTAGATCATTCTAGATTTTCAAACATATAACAACATAGCCATTTTTGCATGATTTAAATTTTCTCCTGGAAATCTTTGGAGCTGACAAATTGGGGAAAGGTAATATAACAAACTTTCCTTTTTGTTTGTACTTCTTATTCTCTGGTATCTAGAAAGAATAAGGGCCTGTGGTATTTGTTTACTCTGCATGCTATGGTCATTTGAATAGCTTCATGCAAAACTAGAAAAACAAGGGGCTGTATGAACTGATAACACAGGATATCTTTGAGCAATTTGACTTCTAATTAATAATTAGCTGGAGAGTGGAGAAAAATAGCATAATTTATCTGTAAGGATCAATGGCTTATTGGGTTTACGCCTCTCTACTTTTTCAGTTTTACTCATAAAGATTGACATTTGTCTACTGCTAATAGTTGCCTGTGGGCTGAGAAGAGCAGTATACAAATATAGTAAATAAATAAATAAATAAACAGTTGCAATCTGCATCAAGATCTCTTGGAGAAGGGTGAAGTCCATGCCTACGTCTTCTTCCAGCATTTTCAATTCTTTGATTTGGATTTTCCCATCATTCGCAGCATGAAAACAGTAATTTGGAAACAGAAGGTACTGAAGGACTTCATCCCCACCAAGTGATCCTGAGAAAGATTTACTGTTAATAGCCAGCTACGAAAACCATCTCATTCTCCATACAAACCATCTCATTCTCCATAGTGACATGTAGGCTCTGTCTGTGTGGTCATTCATGAAACATGTCACTCAGTATGCGACCCCAGGACACTGAATGTAGTCCTCAGGAAAAAAAATATATCCAGGATGGATGTGATGATTTATTATTGGCTTGTTGCATGAGAAAGTACAATCTTGAGCATGAATCCTGTGGATCAATGGCTGATCTGAGTTTAAGCAGACCACCTCTGAAATGCACCGTGGGGACAAGGCTGTTTTCTACTAACCCAGTCAGAATCTCCATTAAACTTCTGTATTTGTGCACATCCACAAATGCAGTGCACCTATTGATTATTTGACAAATAACCTATTTTACAATCCTACCTGGTTGTACTTTTCCATATTCTTCTCTGCACATCCATAGTCATATGCTCGAAATGACTTTGACCGATGGTTCTAGAGGGTATAGAACTGCGGTTAGAGTTGGATAATACTTAGAATTTCCAAGTAACTGAAGCAATGTATTGTCAAAAGCTTTCATGGCCGGAATCACTGGATTGTTGTAGGTTTTTTTCGGGCTATGTGACCATGTTCTAGAGGCATTCTCTCCTGACGTTTCGCCTGCATCTATGCTTGAGTCAGGAGATAATACCTCTAGAACATGGCCATATCGCCTGAAAAAAACCTACAACAACCCAACTGAAGCAATGTTTGAATGTATTTTAAATGTTTAGAAATATTGCTTTCAAACATCAGGAAATCCTTATGAAGACAATCCTGGATTAACAAGAACCCTTAGGCTTTCTAGTGTTTTCTGTGCAGAAATTCTGTTTCCTGTGAAGAGAATGCTTCATTTTGAAATAGATTTTTCATTCCTTGCTTTGAAAATGATATTAATGAATAATTACAACCCCAGTATTTACAGAAAGCTGAACATAATTAACTACATTAGACATAGTTTATTTCTTTTCTTCTTTTTTCTTTTTTGAATTTAATAGACTTACATTAAAACCATGAACATATCACAATTGCATGGAATTAAAAATACTAATTTTTCCATCTCAAAAATAGAGATGCAATTATTATGTGATGGTGACTATTATGTGATGAAATATGGTATTTTGCCCAGAAAACCCCTGGATAATTTTGTTATAAATTGTTGAAGGCAGATAGAACAGCAATTCTAATACATGTAGGGCAGGATTCAATTCATAACAGAATATTTGAAAACTCAGTATACCTGACACCAATGAAGACCATTTTGTACAGAGGTTCCAGCGGGACTGTGTGCTGCATATATATCAAGCCGGCTCTAAAATAAAGCATTAAGTAATCATAAGGTCTTAAGGAATAGCTTATATGATTAACAAAGATATTACCACAACATGGAAGACTAGGGATTAGGCCCTAATGTGGAGGCTGGTGTTCTTCTAGTAATTAACGAGCCATCCCCTGCCACGCGTTGCTGTGGCCCACTCTGGTGGTCATAGGGGTTCTGTGTGGGAGGTTTGGCCCAATTCTATCGTTGGTGAGGTTCAGAATGCTCTGTGATTGTAGGTGAACTACAAATCTCAGCAACTACAACTCCCAAATGTCAAGATTCTATTTTCCCCAAACTCCACCAGTGTTCACATTTGGGCATATTGAGTATTCGTGTAGAGTTTGGTCCAGATCCACCATTGTTTGAGTCCACAGTGATCTCTGGATGTAGGTGAACTACAACTCCAAACCCAAAGGACACTGCCCACCAAACTCTTCCAGTATTTTCTCTTGGTCATGGGAGAACTGTGTGCCAAGTTTGGTTCAAATCCATCATTGGTGGGGTTCAGAATGTTCTTTGATTGTAGGTAAACTATACATCCCAGCAACTACAACTCCCAAATGACAAAATCATTTTTTTAATGAAGGACATACATTGGACTGTTAGGTGTCTTGTGTCCAAATTTGGTGTCAATTCGTCCAGTGGTTTTTGATTTCTGTTAATACCACAAACGAACATTACATTATTATTTAAATAGATAAATAGCAAACCCAGTTTACTTTGTGGAATTGGCATTGTAAGTAAATTGAATAAGTGAGCCTCTAGAAGGAGGCAGTGTAGTGAAAACTAGGCTTCTACTTTCTTTGATTAGTCAAAATAAAAGTGAGGTACGTTCAGGGTTACAGTGTACAACACTCTACTGCTGATATTCTTAAGTAAATGGTGGTCTTGTGTATTATCTTCTAGGCTGAAACTATGAGATGTTAAGATCTTTAGCCTGTGACTCCAGAAATCTAAATCCTTAGATCTGTTACAATCACAGTGTCTGAAATAAATGGAATCTTAATATTAAATCGCAAACAACATGCAATTAATCAGAGGGGTTACGATGTTCCAAGTTAAAATATTATAGAGTGAATCTACAGTGTATAATTATTGCAGTTCCACATTATTTTTATTATAATGGTTTATTGCTATGCAATCATGGGAGTTATAGTTTGGTGGAACATCTGCATAATGGGTTAGAAAGTGCTAAAGACCTTTTAAAACTATAATAAATAATATATTAAAACTTTATTTATAGGAAACGACAAATCATATAAATCCAAAACATTGGTCATGATAGTTAAAGAGATGTCCAGCTATATTAATTCTACTGCATTGGTGCATCCATAGTCACTAGTTGCTCAATCTGTCCTGATTAGGATTGGAAACTCTGCATTTTGAAAAAAAGTACACATGCCTGTTGTTTTTTTAAACTGAAAATAGCAGTCTATATACCTGCATTGAAAGCAAGTAACAGCAGTACCAGCAGATGGCGTTTTACCTAATATAATTCTATCTATCTATCTCTCCATCTATGATGTAAGCCAACGCTTTATAAACTTTTCCACTAACAACTCCTTTTGGCTCAGGTATATACAGGTATATAAATAAGTATATAAATCAAAAAAATTATAGGCATTTGCAAGGCTTGATAAACAGGTATTATTGATACTATTGAGACCCCCTCTCTGTCCATAACCCGGTTTTTGCTAAAAATAAAGAGGGGGTGCAGGGAGCGGAATCAGTGGAGAATAAATGATTATATTTTGAAGGACCCCAAAATTAAAGAAAAAATAGATTGGGAATATGAAATTATTTAAAAGAGAACTTAAAGGATGATATGGATGAAAGGAAGGTTAGGGTTGCAGGGAAAGCAGTAATAAGAGGTCAACTAAGTCAACAAAACACTATCTGGTTTAAAGGGAAAAATACAACTAGAGATTCTATTCAAGATTAGAGATAAAAAAGTATTAGAGTATAAATCAGACAAACGTAAAACACAAGATCTGATTAATTTACAACGGTAATATGAATTGCTAATTACAAATGAAGTGGGAAGGAAAATAATGTATAAAAGACACAATTTCTTTGAAAATGCAAATAAACCAGAGAAATCGTTAGCATGGCAACTGAAGAATCACAAGAAACAGCAATTAATTATTAAAATAAAGAATAAAGGGGAAATGGTTACTGAGATGCAACTCATTGCTGGAAGGAACATTAACAACCTCAGATATGCAGATGACACTACTCTGATGGCCAATAGCGAGGAGGAGTTGAGGAGCCTTCTAATCAAGGTGAAAGACAAAAGCGCAAAAGCTGGGTTGCAGCTAAACATCAAAAAAACCAAGATCATGGCAACAAGAATGATTGACAACTGGAAAATAGAGGGAGAAAATGTGGAGGCCGTGACAGACTTTGTATTTTTAGGTGCAAAGATTACTGCAGATGCAGACTGTGGCCAGGAAATCAGAAGACACTTACTTCTTGGGAGGAGAGCCATGTCCAATCTCGATAAAATAGTAAAGAGTAGAGACATCACACTGGCAACAAAGATCCGCATAGTCAAAGCCATGGTATTCCCCGTAGTAACCTATGGAGGTGAGAGCTGGACTTAGGGAAGGCTGAGCGAAGGAAGATAGATGCTTTTGAAATGTAGTGTTGGAGGAAAGTTCTGAGAGTGCCTTGGACTGCGAGAAGATCCAACCAGTCCATCCTCCAAGAAATAAAGCCCGACTGCTCACTGGAGGGAAGGATACTAGAGACAAAGTTGAAGTACTTTGGCCACATCATGAGGAGACAGCAAAGCCTAGAGAAGACAATTATGCTGGGGAAAGTGGAAGGTAAAAGGAAGAGGGGCCGACCAAGGGCAAGATGGATGGATGGCATCCTTGAAGTGACTGGGACTTGACTTTGAAGGAGCTGGGGGTGGTGACGGCTGACAGGGAGCTCTGGCGTGGGCTGGTCCATGAGGTCACGAAGATTCGGAGACGACTGAACGAATGAACAACAACAACAATCGAAGAGTCAGAGACGACTGAACGAATGAAAAACAACAACATGCAACTCATTAATAAAATATTTGAAGATTGTTATAGGACTTTATATAAAAACACTCAGATAGAGACAACATTGCAACACTGAATCCAATTTTTAACAAGGAAACGAGAACCTACAGGAAGTACTTAATTAAAGAAAAATAGCCTTGGATACTAAAAGGAAGAGAAGAGTTAGAGATATGACTGATTTTGCTACAACCAAGTATATGATATTTTTTAAAAAGGCTGGGCCAAGATTTGTGCAAGCCCCAAAATTAAGTGCAATGCTATGGCAAGCAACAATAATATTAGGTACAGGTCTGTGGCTGTTCATTCCGGAGCTGATTAGAAGAAGTGATCTGGGTAATTGGTAGGAAGAATAAGGCCGTATTCGACAATGTGTAAGACTGAGTTAGAACTGGTCATTTTCAAAGACTTGTTGAAACCGCCAGGTCTTCTTTCTTACATTCTGTATGCCATTAATTCACTTAATATTTTTTTTAAAAAAAGAATCAAGTTTTAGTGGGGATTTAAAAAAAGATATCTCTAAATGCAGAAATGTCTGTTAGAGCTCAATGTTTTCTGTCTTAAACTTTACCAAGGTCCCCAACTGCAGAGAAAATATCACTTGTCTTCTAGTTTCATTTTAAACCTATTGAACCCATTGAGCCTTCCTCAATTTTCTTTGAAATGTCAGATAAAGAAGATTCTCACTCACCATGTTTAAATTCGGAGCGTTATATCCTGCCACAAAAAACATAATGTTGGAAGATAATCGAGGGGAATAAACACAGATTTTTGTAAATAGATTTCTAAAATATGTAGGATACTGAAATGCTCCTTTGTTCCCGAATATCATCTGAAATACATAGCAAAGAATAAGAATGTGGATGCTTGTAAGTGTGGTTCTTACCAAATTTCTGAATTTCCAACCATCATGTGTACTCCATTTCATTTCTGAACCTGGTTGTGAGGAATATTCCAGCTAATAATAATAATAATAATAATAATAATAATAATAATAATAATAATAACAACAACAACAACAATAATAAAAGTTTTTTTTATATTCTGCCCCACTCCCTATGGGATACAGGGTAGCTTACAACATAAATAATACAATAAAGTGCAATACGCTAAAATACATAAAATGGAATAAACAATTAATAACATATCCAATTGATATAAAACACAAAATACGTCTACAAACAAGTAACAAAATTAACAATAAAAATTATGAACATTAGATTATGAGCATTAGAATATACAGCTGTATATTCATGACAATTGATTTTTTCTAAGTGTATACATTTTGTATGCATTTTTCTCAAGTAAACATTTTGTCAAATTTTACTTTTCACAAGAAAATATCTGTACGCAATTTAAAAAACCAACGTATACCTTGCATTTTAAAAAATCTTGTTATCTGGAAAGAGTGAGGGCTTTCTTTTTTTGCATGAAATGTATTTTTCATGCAAAACGCTCAGATCTTTAGCACCAAAACATGACTATCTGGAAACAATATTGTACTGATGAAAAGCAATTGGCTATCAAGATTGTGTATTATTACAGACTTAGGCAACAACATGAACACATAGAGTTCTGTGCTGGCTTCCATATAATTCCATAGAAACTTATTTTCATATATTTTAAATTATATGTTATAAGCTGTTTTGAGTTTGCTGCAAGAAAAAATTGGGAGCAATGTTTAACTAAGCACTATGGCTTTCGAATTTAGCATTCAATGGTCATAGAAGGAAAGCCCCAGAAAGACTTACGCGTAATGTTGTTTCAGAAAGCCGTGCCAATATTGTGAGGGGGGTTGTAGCAAATGGGACTGCGGTTGGAGGTGCCAAGGCAAAAAAAACTTTGACCTTTTCAGCCAATTTTGGCCAAGTAGAGAATGCAATGAATCCTGAGAAAATCAAAGACACACTAAGGAAAGAAATGAACAGTTTTCTCAAATATTACAAAATACGTCCACAAACAAAATTAACAATAAAAAATATGAACATTAGATTATGAACATTAGAATATGCAGCTGTATATTCATGACAATTGATTTTTTCTAAGTGTAGACATTTTGTATGCATTTTTTGAAATTCTCCCACTGGTTAGCATAAAAAAAAACAAAGTGAAAACAGTCGGGATCACAGTAGTATAACCTCTTGGACCTATTTTCAGTAGTCTTCCCTTTTGGGGTGGGTGAGATATCTAAATGAAATAAATGGCCATGCTTGGGAGTGATTGCAACCAGTATGGAGGGATTTCTGAGCAAAAATATTATTTTAAAAATAAACATGTTGCATATACTCCTCAACCTTTTCCCAGCCTGGGACTCAAGCAAAAGCTAAAATAGAGACTGCTAAAAAGAACACATCATACAAAAATATGAGTAAAGTAAAAATAGAATTAATAAGCAGTTGAAAGGATACAGGCAGGTTGCTTACCTATAACTGTATTTCTTCGAGCGGTCAGCTGTGAATTCACAGAATTGAGTAATTTGTACCTGCACAGAGGACTCTTTAGAACCGTCTTGAATTACTAGGTAGAAAAGTTTTGGCAATAACCCAACATCCTGAGACTATATAAGCCTGGTTGCTGCCGAAATCCTTCAGTTCCTAGCCCACAGCTCCATGACCCCTGATGTGACATGGCCCCAGTTTAGGAAGGATGGGCAGGATTCAGGCCCGTAGCCAGGATTTCGATTCGGGGGGGGGGGCTGATTTCGTTTTGGGGGGGGGGTGAGTTTCGGGGGGGGGCTGAGTCTGAGTGAAAGAGGGTCTAGCCTAGCAAACCTTTTGTATCATTACCCCAATACCCCCATGCATATGGGATATATTGAGTATGGTGATCAGATCAGATATGAATAAACATAACAGTTTAAATAATGCACCAGTACGGCCTTTTTGCGAACCCCTCAACCCCCCCCCCCCCCCCCCCCCGGCTACATGCCTGGCAGGATTGTGTGAATTCACAAATGGCCACTTGAAGAATTACAGTTCCAGGTAAGCAAGCAACCTGTCATTCCTCTTCATGGTCTCTGTGAATCATACAGTTGGGTGATTAGCAAGCAAAAGTTATTAGAAGTGAGCATCATGATATGCAGCAGACCATTGCTTTTCGTACAAAATCAATAAGGTTTATTCACCATAAATGCTGTACCCATAACAAGAAGACTTCTGTAGAGTTCAGTGAGACGAAGTACAACCTAACCCACATTTGGTTTGAATGTACCATCAATAAGCATGCATGAAAATGTTTTACAAGGTTGTACAAAACCAAGTTTTGAAAAGTGTCATCTGATTGTTCCCAATAATTTGTGCATACAATCACACAGAAAGTGCTTAATGAGCATCACACAAAGAATAGTCATCAGAGGTTTGCAAAATGACTGAAATCCAATTATTTATTCATTTCAGAGATTTGGATGGCCATTACTTCAATTTGTAAAGATTCGGAAGGGTCCCATTCCGATGCGTTATCTGCATGTAATTGCTTTGGTAAGATTTATTCCATTAGTGGCAATGGGAAAAATTTCGAGGCTTGTTTCTCTATCAGTTTTATAGCTATCAGAATGAAAGGTGGCATTCTTGTAGGTAACTTTCATGGCCTTAAACCTGCCAAGTTTCAGAACATTTTGGTTATCTACTGGTTTTTAGGAAAAATTAAAATATTCACAAATTATAAAAACTTCAAGAGGCATCCCCTTGAATTTTGCACAATGAGACAAAATAAGCAGAGCATCAGTCCTGCAGAGTTTCAGATAGATTACTTCATCTACTGATTTTTAGGAATTTTAAAAAATTGTTCCAATTATATATTGAGAAAAAGACTAATGTCAGTAACATGCCTGCTGTTGAGCCTTCAGAATGTCCTACGAAATATAGTTGTTCTTGGGCAGTTTTCTTCAGGATGAAGTTGATGACGGCAGGAATATCATAGTATCCCATCTCATGAAAACTAGAGAAAGAAATACACATAGGAATGTACAAATACTCCCCAACTTATGAACAAGATATGTTTTAGAGGTTTGTTTGTTTTTTAGGTTGAATTTGTTTGTAAGTTGGAACAAGTATTTTGTTAAGTGTAAGACTATTTGTATGTGTGTGCTTTGTATAGCATAGGGAAGGGTAACACCCTTGTGGTTTTTCTTTTGCTGTCTGTGCCTCTGTTCAGAAAATTTCACCTCACTTTCAGTGCCTGTAAAAATTAGATTTGAAAAATTTGGCTTATTGTAGAAACAATGATTTGTGATAAAAATCCATTTGAGACACCTTTTTGCATGACGACTCTTTCAGGAATGAATTTTCCGTCTGAGAAGTAGATTTTTCTCACTTCTTGTAGCAAATTGGAGACTGCCTGTATACATAAATGTTAATTATGTCTTTTATTGCAAAAAAGATCTTGTAACACCCTACCATCTTATCCCACGAGGAATTTTTGGCCCCTTACTCCTCTTTGGCCACGGATCCTGCCAAACACCATCACATGACACAGGCCATGGTTCTACCTCATTGATGGCTGAAGGGGCGAGGAAGCGTCACAAGACGCTTCCTCGCCAAACATGGCAAGTGAATTTAGTTTTAGGTTGCTCCAATGGAGCTACTTACTGTTTTCGGCCTTTCCCCCATCTGGGGGAAACGGCAATGCTACAATGAACATTGCCACAGTTTTCCCTGTATGATAGGGGAGGGACAGTTCAACAACACACCTTGCCCTGAAGTTCATATGTGATGGGGGAAGGTGAGAAGGTGCACGGGCCACCACAAGGCACCACACATGCCTTCCATGCTGTCTGTGATTACTGGTAAAACAGAACAAAATGGGAGGGGGATCAATATGATGAAAGAACAAAGTTTGTACTATAAACTTATGTAGAACAAGAGCTTATCTACATGGGCTTAACAACCTGCATTCACTGGGTAGATGCTCATGGCTGTTCCCACAATGTTCTGGAAGTTCTGATCCTTATTTACAAGGTAAAGTGAATTAATCTTATTAGCCTCACATCAAGTATGGTTAGAGAATGAAACATGGCATACTTGTAAGTAACTTTCATGACCTTAAGCCTGCCAAGTTTCAAAACGTTCAGAGGTTGGTCAAATTTCTGAAACAAGTTGACAACTTCTATCCAGTGTGAACAATAGGGCTGTCCAATGCAGATGTCCACTACACACATAAGCTGTTGCCATGCCCTTTACCCTGCACTCATTAGTGCAGGCAAAAGAAATAGATTGTGCCCATGTTGTTGCTTTCACCACTCTTCTAATTTCTGGTCATTCAGGAGCATCTGCTGATGTCAGCATGATGTACTTACTATCGTGTTCTGAGCCCCTGGTGTATGCCAGAATCATTGCTAATGCCAAAAACACATTTAATGAGATCTAACAGATTCATATGTGTTGAATCTTTTCAGTGACGTAGAGGAATGGGTGTTCCTCACCACTTTGCTTTCACTGCATTTTCTCCTTAATAGTAATCAGTGCTCGAAATTGTATTCTTGCTAACTTTTTAACATTACACTGCTCTAATGAAGGGAACCACAGCCTTGCAAGAGGGGATCATGGCGAAGTGGTCTATGATTACACTCGTCTGATGAATGGAAGCAGAACCTAGCAGGAGGGGATCATGGCAAAGTGTTTTAGAATTACAATGGTCTAATGCAGTGGTTCTCAACCTGTGGGTCCCCAGGTGTTTTGGCCTACAACTCCCAGAAATCCCAGCCAGTTTACCAGATGTTAGGATTTCTGGGATTTGAAGGCCAAAACATCTGGGGACCCACAGGTTGAGAACCACTGGTCTAATGAAAGGAAGCATAGCCATGTAAGAGGGGATCATGGCAAAGTGATTTATAATTACATTGGTCCAATGAACAAAAGCATAGCTTAGTAGGAGGAGATCATGGCAAAGTGATTTATAATAACACTGGTATAATGAAACGAAAGCATGGGAAAGACCTATAACAGTAAAGGTGTTTAAACTTTCCAGGCTTCCCCTTCCCCCAAATTGGGATGAGATATATAGTAACCTTGGCTTTCAATATTGAAGTCTTCCCTGATTTAAGAAATAAGTAATATGGAGAAGGCAGAGAAAAGGATTCTCCATGTGATGGTTTGAATGTAGGCAACAACAGGGGAGGGAGGACCGAAGAGTGTGATGGGACAATAGGGGATCAAAAGGCAAAATTCCCTTTGCGAGACAGACAGCTTGCCACACTTCTCAAGGTCCATGTGATGAGGTCCTTAGGCACATAAAGCAACCCTTTTCACCAATGTGATGGTGAATATTATTATGGGTTTCCTTACCTAAATTCCCAGAACTTTTGTTCCTTGGTCGTCAGGGTCTTATGGTTTAAAGAATAGGTGTTGCCTCTGCTGTTCCCAAGCCAGACATCATAGCCAGCATCTGCTAAGATGAAACCCAAACTCTTTTGAGGTTGGTTTGAAACCCAGTGAGAAGCATCTCCAATCAAAGCATGTTGCAAATATACGGTTGGCCGTGAGCCTACGAAAAAAAACACACAACAACAACAAAAGAGAAATTTTTTAATTGCATTATTATGTTCCCACTCAAGAGCTCCAGTTTTCAGTGTGGTCAGGATACAATTCAATTACTAAAGCTTTAGCTAAAATTAGTATGATTAAAAGTATGTGTTCTAGATTTGCTAATGAAACTTCATATTAAACACTAAATCACAATGTTCAGGAACTGTTACTTGAATGTCCCTTGCAAATTTCCTCTTCTCATCTTGAAAATAGGACACTAAGCTTGTTCTTGAACTTCCAAGACAAAATAGTTTTTGTCTTGAATGTGAACTTGGCTGTCTCCCTAGTCTTCTGCCATCCGCTAAAGTCCTTTTAATTGAAAAAAGCTCTGGGTCATCAATTAGCTATGAAGAAGGTTATTTTAAAACTGGAACATGCATGCCACACATTCATTCACATTGTTATACTTTAATTTAGCTTTAAATTAGTGGTGCTTTAACAGAATAAATCATTTTTAAAAAATAGTTCATTTTCCTTGTTTCTCAGCCATATTTTGTTTTTATCTACATTATGAAGCAACTCAAGTACCATGTCATGAGAAAGAATTCTAAATAAACATATAATATACTCATAATTAGATAAATGTGAAATTGTTATATGTTCAAAAATATTGCATTGGGGATCTGACTCAGTGCAGGACTCTCTGAAAGACTGCCATCAGCAGATTGTCAATTTATTGTCAATTTATTGAAATGGACCTTGTGGTGACCAAAATCGGCAGCTTTTGATTGCTTTTAGCTGCACTGTGGCAGCAGCTGCATGCATGCGAATCAGGTCCCCCCCCCCCCCTTCTCACTTAGTCTTGCTTGAGTCAGTCAGAGCAAGAAAGTGGATCATGTGTCTTTTTGGCAAGCTGGTCTATATATACCGTGGTGAGCTCCGCCATTTTCCTGTGGAATCCTGGAATCTCAGTGAGAGATCGTGTGCTAGAGTAGCTAGCTCCATGTTTTATCTCAGTGTCGTCACTGCTTAGGATCACTTTTTGACTCTATTCCAATCTATTTCTTTGTCAGTGTTATTAAATTTTCCTAGTTTAATATCTTTCAGTCCTTTTTCTACTATTTCACTAAGGACCCAAAGGTTGGTGTGCATTGGGAGGGGGGTGCAAAAGGGCATTTTTGGGGAATGTTTGTTTAAATATTTTTTACCTTTGTGCTGGGTGGTTTAGGGAAGTGAGGGGATAGCCTTACTCACTTGAGTCCTCACGAGGATAATACTTGTATTTCAATTTGAACCCTCGCCAGCTCTATCTTCTTGCTTCTGTACTCTGTCCTACGGGTTTCCCCCCCTCCAAATTGTGCACCTCTAATACATGAATTATCTTGGAGATGGGATATAAACCTAAACATAAAATTCATTAAGTTTTCATATACATATTGCACATATCTCTTAAAGGTAATTTTATATAATATTTTAAACAATTTTGTGAAACAAAAGTTGTGTACTCTGAAGCACGAGAAAGCAAAATTGTCACTATCCTAGGACCTTATCTGATGACCATTTGTAAAGCAGGGGACAGCAGGGGAAATTGTATACTTATGCTTTTATGTAAAGCTGCTTTGAGTCCTTTTTGGGGAGATAACGCAGGATATAATAATAACAACAACAACAACAACAACAACAACAATAATAATAATAATAATAATGCTGCAGCTGAGGCAACTGTCATGCTGTGTTCCCTACCATCAAGGTCCATAGTATCCCTTCTCATGATGTTTCCCTGCTGTCCCATTCTTCCTCTTCAGCTCCTCTGGCTTTTTTCAATGAGGAGTCAGGTGTAAACCCTACTTCTCTCCCTTCATATGATGAGGTCCGTCATCACTTACATGGAGAATTTTGGATTTCTTAAGAATTCCAGAAGAGGGATGCTCAACATGTGCATGGCTATTATATATTTATATATCTTTCACCCATATAAAAAGATATAAGTACAGAAAAGTTATATTTCTTATACAGGCCAAATAAAGGAACAAATAATTAAATAAAGGAAATAAAAAACATACTGCCTTTCTCATGCAGTAAATTAACAAAGTCAGAGATAGATTTTGGGTCATTATATAAGGTGACTATTTAACATGTACAAAGCTTTGCAGACTTCGAAACCATGGCTCCCTGACTTGATATTCCCCAAAGCGTACTTTTCAATACGTAGTGATAGTAGGTGTTCCTGTTTTTATAAGATAGGGTGCCAATCCTAAAAGAAAAGGGAGTTATGGTGGGATTAAAATTTGTCAAGAGTGAAATACTCAAGGCACAATTGCAAACAGTGTCAACAAAGAGAAAAAGAAAGATAAGTGCAAAGAAGCCAGAATGAATGTTGAACGAACAACTAACTAGGCTAAGACTCAAAAGAGGCATGCACAAGAAGTGGAAAAGGGGAGAAATCACCAAAAGAGAATTCAAATGAATAACCAACTTTTGTAGGGAAAAGGTTCACAAAGCTAAACACAATATGAGCTCAGGCTTGCCAGGGACATTAAAATCTATAAAAGGGGCTTATTTGCTTATGTCAGTAGAAAAAGCAAAAACAAGAAGGTGATCGCACCTCTGCGAGAAGAAGATGGGGTAATGCTGACAGGGGTTAGGGAAAAGGCAGAACTACTTAATGGCTTCTTTGCCTCAGTCAAGAAGAGAGAATGCTTCTAGAACATGGCCATACAGCCCAAAAAACCTACAACAACCCAGTGATTCCAGCTATGAAAGGCTTTGACAATATATCTTTATTCTTGATAGGCATGTCACATGTTCAGCAGAGGATCTTTGAGACTACTGTGCCCGTTCAAAACCCTTAACACAGCCTTTCTCAACATGGGGTTGGGAAAGGGGGGTGTCAGAGGGGTCGCCAAAGACCATCAAAAAACTCATATTTCTGATTGACTTAGGAACCCCTTTGGCAGAGAAGGCTGGATGTAGGTGAACTACAACTCCCAAACTCAAGGCCAATGCCCACCAAACCTTTCCAGTTAGTCCGTTAGTCATGTTAGTCATGGGAGTTCTGTATGCCAAGTTTGGTTCAATTCCATCATTGCTGGAGTTCAGAATGATCTTTGATTGTAGGTGAACTATAAATCACAGCAACTATAACTCCCAAATGACAAAATCAATCACCACAACACCCACAATTTGGTGCAGTGAATGAAAATACATCCTGCATATCAGATATTAACATTACAATTTAGAACAGTAACAAAATTACAGTGATGAGGTAGCAATGAAAATAATTTTATGTTTGGGGGTTACCAAAACATGAGGAATTGTATTAAGGGGTTGTGGCATTAGGAAGGCTGAGAGCCACTGCCTTAACACATCTTCCCTGGGGTTTGTCTCTGTGTCTTTTTCCTCACTAGGCTTCTTGCAAAGAATCAGTGACATATATTCACTGTCAACAATGTATAGATGTTCTAACAAATGAATTACAATATAGTAAACTAGCAAATCATGGTAGGGTATGGGAGAATTGGGCATTTCTTTGCTTCTATAGCATTACCTTTGTTTGTACCATTATGTCTTCCATGAGGTATTCGGATGACTGTAAGGATATATCCATCTTCTGTCTCCACATGATGTTCTTCACTGGGGTATCCGTAAAGTTGGATAATCTTAGTCTGCAAATCACAGTAGGCTTGTTTATATGGATCCTTTCTATACCAAAAGGAAGCAATCATTTTGAGAGAAGATTGGAACTAGCATTTATAGAAGCCGGAGAAAAATAGCACTATTCATGTGGTACAAGTTAGATGAGTTACAAGAATTCCAATGCAAGTGGCCACTAATATTTAGCAGACTTTAAGTGAGAACATGGTCACTGTGATGAATTCCCTACCTTTCTAGGCCAGGGAAAGCACAGGAAGTAGGCCCAGGAAGTTCAGCAGCCATTTTAAAGAGATGGTGCAAGGAGGTAGCCATCTTAGAGCACCTAGTTCCTAGAGTGGGCGGAGCTTAGGAGCAGCCTAGAGGGAACGTGGAAAGCTGTGTAATTGGCTTGGAGAGAGTGGACAGAGCTTAGCTGGAGGGAAGAGAAAAAAGCATTGAAGTAGGTGTGTTTTTAAATCTGACAAGTCAGATAGGTTTTGATGATTGAAGAGACAGGGACTAGTGTCTGAAGAGTTAGGTTTTGGGGAGTGTTTGAAGAAGAAGAGTTAGTGAAGCCAGGAGTTGGTCAGTTAGTATAGATAGATAGCTGTTAGGGAGAATAGCAAGTCTAGAGAATAGAAGATCCAAAGGAAAGGACTTTCTGGAGTTTAAAGAAGTCTAGACAGAGGGAAGACTGCTAGATTCTTGTACGATCTGAAGAGAAACCAGAGCATGACTGCTAGATTCTTGTAAGGGAGTGGAGAGTTGTTTTGAAACTAAGCCTTGAACTGTTCTTTGAAGTAATCACATGCTTTTACTCATTTATGCAACCGTTAAGGTTAAGTGCCTGTTTTGTCAAAGTTCTCACAAATAAACAGCTTTGTTCCTTGTTAAACTACAACTGTCTCTAGAGTGCCTCTATGTGAAATAGTTCCATAGCAGTATAGAACAACAGAGTTGTAAGAAATGGTGGCAGCGTTTATTTAAAAAAGAATCTCAGCGATATTTTACGTCAGAGTTCAAAGCCCTGAGTGCGAATCCAGCACAACACAGCTTGCCTAAAGCCTCTTGCCAAACCAGAAGCTTAATATTCCTTAAAATGTGGTGGTTGCCAGTGATTACAGAACTTTACCTCAGAAAATAGTGTGTTGGTGGCAAAGTCTCAGCAGCCTCCAAGCATTTAATTGAATTTATTTAATAATCTTTTACATTTGGTGGCATACTGGTGGGATCGCTTTACATTTTTGGTGAGGCAGCGGTGAGATCTCCAAATAAAGGGGGATCCTCTCAGCCTGATAGAGATGCCCTCCTTCTTTAATCCCCATATCGCGTTATATATTTGGCTGACAGCGTTTGGGATCGTATAAATATTCTTTACAATTGGTGGATCAGTGGTGTGATAGTTTAACACACCAAATTTTTTTACAGTCATCCTCTTAGGAAATATATCATACATTCCAAGGTGTGTCTAGTCCCTGCCCTGCTCCCCCACCCCCCAAAAAGCATATTTTTTAATGGTGCCATCCAGGTATCCCATAGATAGATGGTAAAGGTGTGCAAATTTTTTTGGATGAGTCAGAATTTGTAAGAAAATTGGAAATTTTGTAAGTTGGAAGCCATTCCGAAGCGTTTACATGGCCAACACCAAAAACTTAAGAATCAAAACTGACCTCATACTTTTTAGTTTTATAAATCTCAGAAGACTTCCAAAGTCAGGTTTGTTCAGTGCAAGGCAAGAAAGCAAGTTAAGCTAGTGAAAGGAAGCATTAAAAAATCTACCCGCCTCCTTTGCCATTCCTCTCCCTGTAAATTAATGGCTTATCTGCATGAAAACTTAATGGCTTCTTGATGTGAAGACAGGGCACATTGCATTTTAGGAACAGTTGTCATGTAACATGTTCTGCAATTGATGGTAGTTGGTGGTGGTAAGCCTAGCAGTTGGTGATGGAAGAGTTAATGTAAGTCTTAGTTCTAAAGGGTTGAGTAATTTGTAAGTAAGAGTTCATGGGTGAAAGCAATTAAGGGTGGAGGTATGCAAGAGATAGGTTGCAGCTGAGTGTTATAATGAGCTAGCCTTGGGACTGATCTTTGGGAGAAAAGTATTTGTCTTATCTTGGTAGTAGATGCTGCTGGTTTTCCCCCAGGTTTGTGGATTTTCAGTATCCTGACCTGTCTCCTGAACCTTTGGAATCCTGCAACCTAGAATCTTTTGCCTGGCTTTAGACTATGGCATAGACTCTTGATTTGTTTATTGAACTCTCCGTGTTTGACCACTGGACTAGATCTTTTGACTACGGAGTTATCTTGAACCTGCAACAGTGTTTGCTGTTTTTGTTTTATATTCTGTGGCTGAATGCAATCTTTATGTTTTATATTTTGGACTATTAAAACAGCCAAAAATCTGAATATCTGAATAAGGCAGAGTCCTGGCACTGTGACAACAGTCCAGAACTTGGGAAATGTAGTTTGGGAAGGAGAAAAGCCCTATGCCAAAGTATTCAACAGGCTCTGGCCTAAATTACATTTCTCAGTATGCATCAGAATCCGAAAGCACCAATGAGGAGAGGGGAGATAGATTTGTCCCTCCCTAAACAGTCAGTTTTTATCAAAACTTTTTTTAAAAAACAAAATCCGTAAAATCAATAGATGTATAAGTATTTCTGAAAGTGGGAGGAATGATCCCCTGCTATCTTGTGTCATTGAATACAAAATTCAAGGAGCCAGCTCTTGTAGTTTTTTTTTAAATGTTTATAACAACTTATCAAAAATCTGTGGATGTTATGAAATTTCATGGGCTATCAATAGTAAATAGCTCAATAGCTTTAAAAATGAGGAGTATAGGAGCCCCTGAAGTTTCCCCAATTATAGTAATTTAATTATGTGCACACAGTGAGCCATATGCCTGTGAGAAACTACATTTCCCAGAATGCAATGCCCAGCATCAGGCTGCAGCAGTCAGTCTAATAATAATAAATAAAATTATTGAATCTGCAAAGAGGACCTAAGTAAGGAATAGTATAAGTCTGTGGTAAGTTAAAATTATGTGTCATATAGATAGACTGAGATTCAAAGAGATTGCTGCTGTTACTTTTGCGGGGATAAATTGTCTAAACTTAAAAAAAAAAACAAAAATCTGTAGATGTGTGAATTTTCCTGAAACTTCTGGGAGTTGATGTCCTGGTTATCTTGTGCATTGTAAATTAAATTCAAGTAGATAGGTCATGTAGTTTTTTTTTAAAAAAAGTTGTTTATAAAAACTTTTGAAAATTCAATAAAAATCCATAGATAAGTGAAACATTCTGAATTTTGGTAGGCTAAGAGTGGTAAATGTGTTCTACCATTGTTGCAAGGTTCACTCCAATAGCTTTAAAAATGAGGTATATAGGAGCCCCTGAAGTTTCCCCAGGACTTTTGAGCCATTTTTAATAGATCACACATGCCTAGTAGTTGGTGTTCACTTCAATAGGCAAGTGTGTGTGTGTGTGTGTGTGTGTGTGTGTTTGTGTGTGTGTGTGCATGTATGCCATATTTTGCTACTTGGATAATATGGGAATCATGAACTACTTGTTCTGCATGGAAGATAGACAAATGTAGTGCAGAAGTAAAGTAATGCAACTAACAATGGAAAAATTGGCTGATATTTCAATCTTAATTTAGAAGACCCAGTAGCAACCCAGTGAGGGATAATAATGTACTCAGTCATTGGCTGATCAAATGCATATTTCGCACTAGATATAAAGAATAAAGCAGGCTGGTATGTGTATTTCAGTCAAGGTTACTTAAGAGACTATATGATCCTGTTGGGGTTCTATGATCTCAGGGGAAGGCTGCTCACACTGACTGTATGAATGACTTCTGCCCTTTATGATGCCGTCTAGCAAAAGGTCACTTGTCAAATCTGTATTTAACTTACAACATTTAAAAAGCACTCTGGATTCACATTATATTTGACTGCAGGTTCTTCAGAAGTGTAGCGTCCTCTTAAACTGACAATTCCTTGCCACAAACATACTGCTATTATGACAATCCACACCTTCATCCTAGATGAAATAATGTAGTCAATGGGACATTTAAACAGAGATAGGTATAAAAGATAAAAAACAAAGGTTAATTATGATTATGGTGAAAATAGTGTTCACATTTACATTGCATTACTACACCAAAATAATTATAGGAATGAATGTCCTACCCTTTAAGATTCAGGGAAGAGGGAGAAGCAGCTGAAAATCCCAGTTGTAAAACAGTTTCCCCAGATGATAACCTTCAGATGTTTTAAGATACTGTTCCCATCAGACAATTTTTATGGAAGACGGTCGATGCAGTCCAAAATATGGGAATGAGGTACCATATTGGGAAAGTCTATACCAGAGCTACCTGTGCAGATTTTAAGAGGGTTTTTTATCTGTCTAAAGGAGAAAACATATTTCTCAAGAGAGAGTGCACTCACCTAAAGTATGGCTCTCGTTCCTTCAAACTGTTTTGCTCACAGCTAATGAAGAGACAGTTTTGTTAATTTGAAGCTTCGGTTTTTAGATAAAATCAAATTTTCCAGACGTTGGAGTTTTGGAGTTGATTGTATTCAAGGCTTTCCAGAAAGAAATGGAAACAAAAGCAAATTCTCAGAAGCATTTATAAAAGCAAGTCAGGTATTGCAAAAACCTAACCAGTAGTAAAGATGTTGTAGGTGGAATTCTAATTACTCAAATGGCAAGTAGGGCAATCATAGTCATTTGGCAAATATCCAAATAATTTCATAACTACTCCTTTGTAGCCCAGGCTGCATGTTTACAAGAATATCAGCCATACTCTCCTGTTATTTCCATAGAATAAATTCCTTTTAAAATTAAGATAACTATTCTAATCAAGCATGGAGCTTAACACTAAGGGGTTGCTTGGAGGGTGGACTTGTATTCATGACTGAACTCCATATTTTGTGCTGGAAATGACATCATAGAGGTTGCCCTCCAGAATGATGCACAGTCTAAAAGGAAAAATACAGCAGTTTAGATCAGGGGTCCTCAAACTAAGGCCCGGAGGCCGGATGTGGCCCTCGAAGGTCATTTACCCGGCCCTCACTCAGGGTCAACCTAAGTCTGAAACTACTCGAAAGCACACAACAACAATCCTATCTCATCAGCCAAAAGCAGGCCCACACTTCCCACTGAAATACTAATAAGTTTATATTTGTTAAAATTGTTCTTCATTTTGATTGTTTTATTGTTTTATTGTTTTAAAGTGTTTTTTGCACTACAAATAAGATATGTGCAGCGTGCATAGGAATTCATTCATGTTTTTTTCAAATTATAATCTGGCCCTCCAACAATTTTGGGACTATGACCTGGCCCTCTGTTTAAAAAGTTTGAGGACTCCTGGTTTAGATAGAAGAGCAGTACTAATACTCAGATGATGGAAGATAGCTTACTGGGTGATGTCGAGCATCAACCCCCTCCCGGGTCAAAATTATCAATAAAATATAGTTGAAGCCATTGCTGAAAGAGCTGCAGAGAGCAGGAGCCCGGAGTCCCATGGGAATCGATTCTGCAAACGAGGTTATGGAGGACCAGCAGCAGCTACCAGCAACCTGGACACAATCGATATTCCCCTTTTATTACAAAATAACAAAATTATTATTACAATAATAAACATACACTATGTTGTGTTATCCTCTATATTTGATTCTTTATTTCTTTTTTCCCCCTCCTGTGTCTTTCTCTTTTGCGTCTTGCAACCAGCCCTGGAACACCCACAGCCCTCGGAGCAGGGCTTCCTTCATTGTTTCCCCCTCTAGATAACCTCTCTGCATCCCAACTAACCCCTTCACCAACCCTCACTCCCCAGGTGGTGCTGAACATCAACAGTTCTTGAGAAAGGCAAAGTTCAGTCTTGTGGGTTTTTCAGGGAGCTGAGACATGGGGCATGGGTTGTGGGGGCTTCCTCTACCCCATATCAGGTCACTGATATTTCTAGATGCTGAAAAAGCATTTGACAATGTTTATTGGCTGTTTATGTGAGCTATCAGGGAAAAGATGAATTTTGGGCTAAATTTCCAAAGATGATATTTATAATGAATAAAGCGCCCAAATTCTGCTTAATAGGGAACTGGCTAAGTCTGGTAAATTACAGAAAATAACTAGACAAGGTTGTCCTCTCTACCCATTATTATTTTTTACTGGTGATAGAGGTTTTGAACAATGGCGGAAGAATGGAAGAATATATTAAAGGAGTAAGGATAAAAGGTGAAAAGTTATAAGTGGAAATCTTTTGGAGTTGGCCTAGTGATTTTCTTAGAGGATCCTCTATACACAAGTGTGAGTCTGAACCCTATCTTGAATGAATGTGGAAATATGTCACGGTTAAAAAAATAGCAAGGAGAAAACAATGATGTTGACAAAGAATTTGATGAAATCAGAATAAAAAGATCTTATCTGAGAAATTAGGTATCTATCACAGTTGTTCTGAAATTTAGGAATTGCATCTAAGTATGGGATGTTCCTTTCTCTCTGCAAGAAAGTGATTGGAAGAGAACGTACAAAATGAGTGACCTCCTTACTCAGTTTAAGAGGGAGTAATTGGGAATGGTGGTGTAATACAAATTCAGTTACAAGGAACTTTACTTCGAAGAATGGAATCCAACTACAGGTGTTTAAAAGGAAGTCAGAATACTTGTGGGTGTTTCCATGTACAATTAAGGTATAGAATGGGAGGGGGAAGCTTTTTGTACATTTTGCAAGCATTATGTATAATACTGAGGTGGTTTGAAGGAATGTGTACATTTTTTTTAAACGAACACCAAACCTGCAAGCAGACAAAAAAGTCAAAATATAACTCATAGGACAAAATAAAAAACAAGAATAGTAAATATTCATTTACTTAATGTAAAAGACATACTTTGTTGTACTGCCACTTTCCAAGAAATGCCTTGCCAAAAAGAAGGGCCATTTCATCTGATTATTTTTGTTTCTACTGTTGCATGCTGTTGGGTTTGGAGTTATACTGGATCATTCGCTACATTAATGTAGCTTACTTACTTACTTAGGCGATCCCTCATTGACAGAGTCAGATTGTCGGTGGGTCCGTAGGTGACTGTGGAGCCCCATTCTTGATCTGCATGTTCTCCCACAGTGAGGGCATTGGTTTCCAGGTGGAAGGCGGTCCCAGTCGGGGTTGGCTTGACGTGCCTTCCTCTTGGCACGTTTCTCTCTTTCACCCTCCATTTGTGCCTCTTCAAATTCTACAGCACTGCTGGTCACAGCTGACCTCCAGCTGGAGCGCTCAAAGGCCAGGGCTTCGCAGTTCTCAGTGCCTATGCCAGAGTTTTAAAGGTTAGCTTTGAGCCCATATTTAAATCTCTTTTCCTGCCCACCAACATTCCATTTTCTGTTTTTGAGTTTGGAGTAGAGCGACTGCTTTGTGAGACGGTGGTCAGGCATCCGGACAACGTGGCTGGTCCAGCGGAGTTGATGGCAGAGGACCATCGCTTCAATGCACTAAGTGAGAAAGTATGCACTAAGTGAGGTTACTGCCTATGTGAAATGCCCAACTTACAGAAATGTTATAATAAATGCGGGAAGCTAAATTATTTTGCAAGAGTCTGCAATAAAAGCCAGCAGAGGCAATGCAATGAAAAAGGCTCTGCCAGTCTTGTATTACAGTGTGAATTAAGTGACCAAAGTGGTGAAGCTATAGAGAATTTCTTTATTGAAATGCTTCACAAGGAGGACACATCAAATGAGGAGCATTTTCCTTGGTAGCAGTGGAATTGTAATATTTAAGTTATACACTGTTGATTACACATCCCAATAATTTTCCCCTTAGTGTTTTGCTTTTCAGGACTGTTCCTGGAGTTATTTAGGCAATGATTCAGAAAATTGCATTGGATAGACGCATCAGCTATAAGTTTTTAATGTGGTTATGATTTCTGTGGGTGAGCAGATGAAGATAGAGGACATATATCCTATATCTCAAAAACCTGGTGCTGTTTTTGGAAGCAGCAGGTAAAATACACCCAAAAACAGGGCGAACATTTTAGGTACCAAATGTGTGGGGGCCAGTTTTACCAACCATTGAATAATGAGACCAGACATACAACGTTCAGTTAGGTAAGGACCAGTTTATTTGATCTATATAAAATCATAGAGTTGGAAGAGACCTCATGGGTCATCCAGTCCAACCCCTGCCATGAAGCAGGAAATATGGGATATATTGAGCATGGTGATCAGATCATGATATGAATAAACATAACAGTTTAAATAATGTACCAGTAAGGCCTTCTTATGGACCACCATGAGAATTTCAGGGGGGGGGGACTGAAGCCCCTCAAGCCCCCCCCCCTCCCCGGCTACATGCCTGGCATAGCCCCTTTATCCCATTGGGCTAGCCAGTAAGGCACATGCTCCACGTTGCAAATCTCCAAGGAAGACAAATACATCCCATCATACCTGTAGAGAGTTGGCTGATGAAAACAAATGTTAGACTGTGCAAGAAAGTTGCCCACACTCCCTTTTTTTCTAGATCCTTCTGTTAATCCTCTTCTGGGTTCTATCAAGTCCATGCAAAATGTGGTCTGGCAAAACAGCTGATCCCTCCAGAATGACAGCTGGCCAATTGGCCATCTATTCTTTATGACTTGAAAGCATGCCAAGAATGACCGAAGAGAGGGGCCCGTAGACATGTGCACGAGATTTGTTCTTACTGTTTCTTCTGGTTCTTTCTTGTCTTCCAATTCTTCAGAAGCACGAAACAGGAAGTCTCCTCCTCACACAAAATTCAGCTTGATACAAAAGCCTGTTTTCACATGGAGCCGAACTTGCACACTTCTTCTCTTTCTCCTCCTACCTCCCTTACACCCACAATACTCCGCATTCACTCACAAGAGTCGCGGCTGGGCAAACCACATCGGGACATCAGCATCATGACTAAATGAAACACTTCCCCACCCTTCTTTCAGGGCATGTGTGTGTTGTGGGGTGTGTGACTGTGTAGGCACTTGGCTGCAGGAAGGCATTGACAGGTGCACACATGCTGTCCAGGGCTGTCTGTGTCCTGCCACACACACTCTTTTTCCAGGGAGTGTGTGTGTGTGACGTGGGGTACGCAGACACTGATAGGCATATGTGTGAGCTTTCCAGGCCTGCCTGTGCCCCACCACACTCTCTCTCTCTCTTTTTTTTTTTCCCAAGATGGCGACAAAGAAACAGCGACCCTGTTAACATCAGCGGGGCTAAATCATAATCTGCTGGAATCCTTGGCTTTTAGCCTTATCCTGCTGCATTTTTCATCAAGAAATCTCCCTGATTTATCAGGGCACCGAACAAACCGGTCAATTTTGGGAAAGATCAACTATCGAGCTGAGAACTTACCTTCATTGTGAGCGAAGATGAGCTGCCGATGGCGTCGGATTAGCGGGTAGGCCACTGTGCCAGCTGGGTCCCTCCATCGGGCCCCCTTCCTCTCTGAGAGAGTGCTAGGCCGCGCTGCCATCTCCCTTGCTGCCATCTACCCCCTCCCTTGCCATCTGGGAGGGGGTGAAGAAGAGCCGGCACAGCCGCAGCCTGTTTTGGCCCCTCCGTCCATCTGGAAGGGGCCGCGGAGGAGCGCTAGGCTGCGCGG